TTTTAAGAAGAGGTTAGATGAACACCTTGCTGGGGTCGTTTGACCCCAGTACTCTTTCCTGCCATGGCAGGGGGTCGGACTGGATGATCTTCTCAGGTCCCTTCCGACCCTAGAAACTATGAAACTATATAACTAAAGAATTTCACATTCAATTCTTTTCTACCCTGATTGAGTTTCTTTGTGAGGCAGGCTGAGTTTATGTTAAAACCAAAAAACTGTGAAGTACACTAAGTATTGTCAATCCTGACAAACATAGCAACACTGCTTACTCAGTCACATTGAGGCCAACACTTTCTCAACTCATGCATGTCAGCTTCTCCCCTTGTCTTGGGTAGTGTTACCCATTGCACAGTTGGTTAAACTACTACCCATCCAACAAGCCTCTCATTAAGGCAGTTGGTAATTAGATTCCCAATCCCCAATGCTCAGGGATTGTCAAGAAAAATATATGCAATTTCAGACAAAGTTCATAACTTAAAGCTGAGCATAACAACCTCATTGTTACAGATTGAATTCTCAAGACATTCAAATGACATGAACTACAACCCAGTTTCCAAATATTGAGAAATACAATTACTGAATCTCCATGACTCCTTAAAAAAAAGTTTGCCAATAAAATATTGACAAAAAGGATCCATTCTCCTCTTTATAACCACAAAAGGGGACTGCTCACAACTCTTTTACTATCATTTTCTCACTTCTCTAGTTAAACATCTCTTGCAGTCACTTCATACCTATGTATCATGGTTCAACACCCAAGTGTTTAAAGAAGCAAGAAGTCCCAATTATAATTATTACCCTCTTCACAGTAGCAGAACAATACAGAACTTATGAGAAGATGGCTGAAATTCAGACAACAATATGAGTGCTGCTTCTAGAGCTAATCACAGGATTCTAATTCAATTCCATGGGAACAGGTTTTATAAATTTTGGCAGATTTAAAGATATGAAGAATTACTAGCAACAGAGCCACTCAATTAGCCCATCATGCTTACAGAGCTCCAAAGGAAGAATTCTCCATGTTAGAATTCTGCTCAAGGTTTCAAACTTTTTTAAAATACTTTATTCTGGACATCCAATAATCATAGATTCTCATCTGCTGCGCTCTTCTCTGAAAGTCTGCTTTGCTGAATACATTATATCACAGAGACAATGTGACTTGGGGGGGGGGGGGGGG